CTTTCAGGTTAACCCCCCCCCCCTCCCCGCCGCTGCGCCGGCTTCCACAACACACCTCGGTCACACAAGGCCCAAATGTGTTCTCCAGATGCACGTCGGTGAGCTCTTCCTGGTGGCGTCAAAGAGATCCTGAAGACAAACGGCAGGGTGTCTATAAATACCTGAACTCAAGAGGGGAAGGAAGCCTTTCCTGGGCTTGCATCATGGTATTCAATAACAAGTCAATTTACCACAACTTGTTAAGATGCACCTACAGGCCATTTTTGAGCCACATTCATACAAATGAAGCTTGAACGAATCACTCTTGTTTTAGCGTTTTTAAAATTTAAGATGAAATCCAGTTGCTTCAAACATGCAGACTTGTACTTCACTTTGTTTCAGTCAGTTGAATAATTACTTAAAAAATACTTAGAACTCCCTTTTAAATGACCTTTTCTCATTGCAAGTATGGATTGATCTGTGATTTTCCCATTAAAAGAAGTTACTTGTTACTTTTACAGCTCATTTTACTTTTGCACAAGTTTCTACTTTTTTTCTTTAATTTTATTGCTGCATAAGCCTGTCAATCATTATTTGTGTGTGGTTTACAGAAATGGAAGCTTTCCATTTCATTGCAAATACTGAGCATGCTGATGAAATGAGTCACTACAGTGCAAAATATGATTACAGATTCATCATAAAGCTAGATAATGAGCTCACTGTCTGCCACCATCCAAATTGCCACAGGGTAACATCACCCTGACAAAATTATGAATAGTAACCTGAAAATACTATCAATAAAATATAAATGCAGTTAAATGAATAATAGAGGTGTTTGCAGTGGAGGAGAAGGGCATGCAAGAATTAACTAAGTCATAATTTTCTTCTCAAGTAAGATGAATGGAAAGCCGTAAGGCAAACCATGCTGTGCGGAGCTGGCCACGCACCACACTTAATCAAATAAAATGGAAAATTCTTTTCACAAAAACAACCAGTCATAACTCAAACGGCTCACAGAGTTGGGGGGCAAGCAACAGAACTGGTTCTTGGGCTATAGATTATTGTGGCAGGGGGATGGTCTGCTGTTTCTTCAGGAGGGACTGCCAACAAAGCTTTACTTGAACAACACAGAGAAATCTGTCCGCACACGCCAAGCTGGACCCGGCACCTTCTAGCCTCGGGCGCAAGGAGCCACCATGTGACCGGGAAGACGCTTATGCAAACTCATGACTGGGGTTGCTGAGCGAGGAGTGTCGTCACCTCCTTCAGCTATCTACAGTCAGTGTGTCCTTGCGGGAAACACTGGAGCACTATAGGACAGTGTTGCTGAAAAGGCACATCCACACTTAGCAACTTCTACCAGGTGTTTTTGCTCTCCGTTTCTTATATGATCAGGAGAAATGGGAAAGTCATTTTTGTGGCTACTTTATTCATAAGTGTAAAAAAAAGTCCAAAGATATATTCATTTCAGGCAGCAAAACAATAAAATCAAGGAAATTCAAGCGCTTTTGAGCTGTATCTGCATAGAAGAGCGTTTGTTTCAGCGTTCAGTAGGGACACAAGGAGTTGTAAACTGTCTCAAGGGTATTAAACATGGCTACATTACCAAGTGGGAAAAGCATGCAACTGCCCCAAGAACCCAGGGACCAATGGGGACTCCCAAAGCTCCAGCTTAACACTGTGTGCTGGTTGGTTTGTGATCCTTTGATCGATTGTAGAGAGGTCAAGACATAGAAGTGTAAAAGTCAAGTTTTAAGACATATCAGTCATAGAATATCAGTTGATGTTGTATTTAAAAGGTGTGAGAAGGTAGTATTTCCAACAAAATATAATTAAGAGGCCACATCAGCAGAGAGTGGAAGGGAATAAAGGTTCTCGCAGGTTAAACTGTTAAAAAGAAGGACTTATTGAAACATAAAGCAAAAGCGTTAGATTCCTTTTTTCTAATTTAAAATAAAGAAAATGGTACTGTTTACTTTGAGTTACCTCCTACCTGAGCTTGAACAACACCATTAATATGATATCATCGTAATAAGACAATGCAAACAAATAGGTCACTGCAGGAGCTCCCTCCTTTTAGACAATCATTTGTACCACGATGTAAATGATGGAACATTACAGAAAGGCATCATTGGTAAATTAAATCAATGTTTGTAGAATGAACACTAAATATTTGAAGCCGTTGAACAACCCTCATCATTACATCCCAGAGGACTCAGCTGTGGCCCAGTAGCTAAAAGAAGTCCCCAGACAGACAATAGAGTGCCGCTACTACTAATCCGGCGCTGAGGTCGTCTTCCTGTCTACTTCCTGTTCTAACCCCCAAAGGAAGGAAGTGAGGGTCTGCTCTTACTCCGAAGGGCATTGTGAGTCTTCCTCTATGAGTTCCTGTCCTAGACAATGGGACAGTCCTGGATTCCAACCGCACCTTATAGGTCTATCTGAGGCGGGGGATCTCACTTTGAATTAGTTTTCTTTGGTCCAAACACATATTAGGAAAAGCACATGCTGGTTGTTTACAAAGCCCAATTATACATGAGTCAGGACTCACAAGTACCCAAAGTTTTGGTGACCGGTCGTCCTGTCAGCTCTGATAATTCGGCGCCAAGAGGAATCCAAACAAGTCCGATTCTAGTTCCTGTAATTTTAGCTAATCGTGATGGGCTGCATTCTTACTCATGGGGTGTTCAAAAGGACAGGAAAAAACAGGTAAAAGTGAGCATTAGTCAGACCGTTGTTTGTTCATGTTTGCCAAAGATTTTTGATTTATCCTGAAGACTATGTTTCCTAAAAAATGTCTAATATAAATCTTGAATGCTGTCTATAGACGTGTATCCTGTGCATGCAAGTACTGCATGCGCATGTTAGAAGAAAATTATTGTGTATTTCACAATTTATATAATCATAAAACATACAATAAATGATAGAAACTCACATTTTCAGGCTTCTCAGTGCAGTTTAAAGACATTAAACAGTGTGCTGCTCTAATTGCACATTCAGTGATTCTAGGCTGCGACGTCAGATTTCACAATGAAGCTAAGAAATGTCAAACTGTGCTGGAGTGGCAGATTTCAATAAATAATGCATGTTGGCTTATTTCTTTTTCCTTCTGTGTGCCTGTAACGTGCAGAGAAGTGGTACAAATGAGTGAACAATATTCAGACCAGATGTGAGCAAGATCTCAGCGGTACAGTCAAGTTCACGTTGAGGAACACCGTTGAGTGAATGAACATACATCAATTTGAGATCAGGCTCTAAAATGAGGAACAGTGTGACATAATTTCAGTTTTCTCTAACCCAGTTTATCCTCCACTAACATGACCAAACATCACCGACCTGTATCCACTCCCTGACGGTGTCGTCTGAGGGCGTCCAGCCGTTCTCCTGGTAGTTGAGACGCGAACGTTCAGGCGACCAGTTGCTGTTGTACTGGGAGGAGGCGGTGATCTGGTCTGAAGAAATTTCCCCCGACTCCATGCCCAGTGCCTCCATACACGCGAAACCTGCCAAAAGACAGAAAAACTCCATTAACAAAGAGTTCAACAGCAAAATAAGAGCTAAAAGGTTTTGCAGACCAAGAAAAACATTATTTTTAATGTGTTGCTGTATTTTTTTATTTATTTTTTTGTATTTATCTTAGAAAGTTATAGAAAATATCATGACTACTGTGCTAAAACTAAAATAGTAGTCTGTCTGTGTCTTGAACTACCAGTGGACATGAAGTTTTTACTCCTCAACACATGGTTTTATAAAGTTACAAACTCAAGAACTGGGTTTTTAAAACAGACACCTCAAGTTTAAGTCATAAATGTGTTTTTTTTTTGCGTCTCAGACTCAGGCAGAGAAACAAGTGAGCATTGTGATTAGAGACAGACATTGTAAAGTGTCTGTCCCTGCTCCCTGCTGGGCGGTAAGTCACAGTAGTAAAGGAGTCATTTCAAACAGCTCCCGTGGTGGCATTTTAGAGGCTATTCGATGTCACAATTGCTTTACAGTATCCATACATACACACACATATTGTGTGGACACATCTGAAACCAACTGAAAATGGTAAATTTGTCCCTGAAGTTGAACTGAAAATTCACAAATAACATGCTGTTGACTAGTATGATAATATATGTAATAATAATATGGATGTAAAACACCCTCAGACACATAATCACTTTAACGTTATTGTTTCAAATCCAATGTGATCAAGAAAAGAGTGACAAAATGTCACTGCCCAAATCACTGTATATTGACAATTTGACATTTTGCTAATAATACTACGAAGAACGACTTAATAGCTGTTGAAACTCACAGCTACCTGAAGGCTTTTCCTCAACTCTATCCTGACACTGCAAGTAATTATTAGCTTCATGATCAATTAAATCTATCAATATATTTCCATTTAAGGCAGGAATTAATGTCAAAAGATTGGTTGACATCTTATTTTTGCTTGTTTTTTTTGACGAACAATTAATGATATAAAAATGTTGCTCATCTCCACATTGGAGAAACTGGAAGCACAGAATTTCTGAGATTTTTGCTTGATAAATAAGTTTAAAAGATTACCCGATAATCAAAACCATTGTTAATTAATTTCCCGTCGACTGAATTAACTATTTGATGTTTTTATTCTGTACTCAAACACAAACATATAAAACCCCCACACAGGCTCATAATGCTGCAGATGCCATGCCGATTCAGCTCTAATTCAGCTGGTTTTCATGTTTTCACTCTAGCTAAAGGATAATGCACTCCTCCGCGGATTGAGAAACTCCTCTGGGCTCACAAAACCATTTCAAAACAGCATCTCAAACTCCACGTCCGTATCAGTGTCCACTCTGTAACAGCAGGGGAGCCCGGGGAAGGAAGAGGGAGGTGGAACAAAAGGAAACGTGTGTGTTTGTGTGTGTGTGTGTGAGTGTGGGAGGGCTGTCTGGAGACACAAGGTCTGCCAGACTGACACAAACACACTTACATCATTCCAAGTTCCACAAATAAATTAGGGAGAAAGTTGCAGAAAGCTTGTTTTTTTGAGGGGCTCATCATCAATATTTGTTAACTTGACAATTTTCAGGCCCAAATCTTCCAATTCATTTTTTTCCCAGAAGAGTACTCTTGCCAGAAAATGCTCTGAAACTGCTGCTAAACAATAAAAAAAAGAAAGTAATACACCACTAGATGTCATCCAGCTGATACATCACTTCATATCTCTAAATTCTCTCACTTTTCTGTTTTTCCATCTGGCTTTTCCAAACTCTTTTTCTCATTTCTATTCATGACAACAACCTCCACGTCTCCCTCACAGCAGGCATGAGGGACAAACTTCAACCCCGTCCCTCTACCTCTCCATCCAAAAAGGAAGAAAGGACGTAAGCTGATGCCCCCACTGATCGTTAGAGCTGATCAAAGGCCCGGCTGGAGGCCGTGTGATGACGGTGACGGCCGGCACAGAGCGAGAGAAAACTGTAAATTCACAGCTGGATATCAGAGTTTGATTCCTCCCAGGCTGTTAGCAAAGATCCTGCTTTATGGGAGTTTATAGCAGTGGTTTATGCCCCCCCCCCATCCAGGCCTGTCATGTGAACTCAAATAGCCCTTAATCATCAACACCCATCATGTTCCAGACGTAGTAATCTGAATGGACTTTAAAATGCCAGCTTTTAAACATTATTATAAAGCATTAATGTGTTCATAAAACTAATGTTTATGTCTGTTTGGTCACTTTTGTAGGCCTATTGTGACCAAAGCTGGACATTTCAACCATTCATCCATTATTTTTAGCTAACTATTTCAACTATTAAACTATTTAAACAGTGTATTCATACTTTTAACTATATTTCAGGCTTTAATTACTTTTAGCTTACTGTTTTGACTTCTCTGCTAGCTTTCTAACTATTCACACATTCTCAACAGCAACAAGTTGTGTTCAAATGTTACAGCTGACTCAATATGTCGATAGATCTTGTCATAAACATTCATGCATCAACATCAGATAACCCCCACACCCACATGTTTTCTGCCGTGGCAAAAAAAAGGAGAGACTAAAAAACAGAGAGATAATTTACTTGACCCCTCCGTGAAAAAATTCTACATACATGTGTGATTCAGAAATATTATTCCAGTACAGTGGATGATGTGCATTGAATACGCATACAAATAACCTTGAATTTTCAAATTAAAGGTTAAAATAAAGCGTTACACATATTTCACAGACCTGGACAATGTACTGTGTCAGTGTTTTATTTGGATGGATTTTGTAACTTAAAAGCAAATATCTTCATTAATTGGATATTTACCCATTTGTAAGCCAGCGCGGACCAGAAATCTAAAGTGCTCAGAAAATAAATTTGAACGTATAAATTTTATGAGCAACAGACTCCACTCTGCTAATAAGAATAATTTGATATTATGAAGCTCTCTAACATCTACTAAATTCAATTGTCATTAACTGGATATTGTTTATGCCTATTTTTATAATGTTTGAGTATTTTAAATTGGAGAAAATAAATAATTAACATCGTTCACTGACCGCAACGTGCAGTCGGGGGGCCATGTAATCCTTTAGATGAAGGATAATCTGAGACAAAAACACAGTCTACTGATTTAAGCTTTAAATTATCTATTTAGAGCAGTAAAAAGTAGATTTTGTACGTTAATTTCTCCCCAAAAAGTGCCCATTTAAACACAGTGGGACCTTATGTAAACTCACCTCTGTACACACACTAACATTCCTAAACAGGGGTGATGGGGTCAGGTTACAAGAGTGCAAGAACCATAACGGCCAACATAACTTAAATCTCTAGCAGACAGTTTCCAACGAGATTCCTACAGCCATACTGATGCTTTCTTTTAAAAACTGGGAAACGAACAACGCAACACATTGAAACATATCTGATCTATAACAAAGCGAGAGAAACTTTCATCCTCCTTGATAATATCCTGCTGGCATGAAATCGGCCTAATGTTCAACCAGGAGCAGATAAGAGTTAAAGTAGGTCAAACCGAAAAGAATATAAGCTGTTTTTTTTTTTTATCAGAACCAAATTCAAAGTTACAGCTATAAGAAGTAAGATTAATCTATATCTGCTGGTAGTCAAATTCAGAATTTGATTCTATTATTTAAAGTTCAAGCAGAATGAATCAAACTGTAGCTGCTGTTTTTTTATCCTGCAGACAACACCAGATAGGCGGAGTTTACTCGTATCAGGATCGTGTCATGAAGGTATCCAATTACAGTATGAAGAAATAAGATTACAAGGTGATTACATACTTTTTCGATATATTCAGGCTGTATTTCTTGCAGTTATTGTACTGTAGCAAACTCACAGCCCCAGTCACCCAGCAGACAAGATTAAAACACAGTCAGAGCAGTTGTGGTCCTGATAAGTATTTAAGATAATCTGAGTGGTTGGTGAGACGATTGAACAACGTAAGGAAAGAAGAAGAAAACACACCATTTACTCGACAAGGAGATCTTTCTTCAAACCTTTTCTTAACCAGTCGGTTTGTCTTTTTTTGCTGCCCACAAGACACTGAGGTCTCTTATTTCTTCAACGGAAAATTACTTTAACATTGAATTAGCGGGTAAATTGGCTATAAATTTTGTCACAAGCCAAACATAGAGTTGGGAACCAGTCGGTTTTCAGTCCATGCTGGTTCAAGTTCAAGGCCGACACATCAAATAGACTCCTAAAACCAGCCTGAAATTCAATAGTTTATTAGTCTCAGCCAACCAATTATTTTATTGCCAGAAACAGCAAAAATGGTCAAACCAGGTTCAGGCTTCTACTAGTCTTTCCTCCTGTCTTTATATGCATTATAGACTTGTAACATCGGTGGGTTTCTTGGGACTGTTGCTTTATGAAAAAACAAGCCAATCTGCAGATGTTGCCTTAGGCGTCTGGGAAATTATCGATGGCGAATTTTGTGTTATTTATTGCCTCTAAAAAGATACCCTACCATTGGTGTTCAGTCTCAGTACACCCGAGAGGTTTCTTTTCTGCAGTAAACAGAGAATAGTTTTTCTGGTATCCTGGTTCCCCACGTTTATCCAATCAGAACGAGAGAAGTTATGGCTGCGTTTTAAGGCCAGGCCTGGGAAACAGAGTCAACCAAT